GTCACACAGCAAATGCTGGGAGAGCTGGGCGCAGAACAAGATAACGCACACCTGGAGTCTGAGATTTGTATGCTGGCTCTCATTCCACTTTCCCAATAGCCTCAGGAGGTAGGTCCCGAGGTCCTGCTTTATATACAGGGTCATGGAGATGTAATTGGGCTTCCAGGGTGACACCATGGTAAAGAATCTGCCTGCCAATGCAGGAGATGTGGATTCAATCCCTGCGTCAGGAAGATCCCCTGGAGAAGGAAAGGGCAACCCACTCCAGTATTCTTGCCTGGGAAATCGCATGGACTGAAGAGCCTGGCGGGCTATGGTCCATGGGGTCGCAAAAGAGTGGGACGACGTAGCGATTCAACAACAACAACAACAACATTAAGAAAGGTAAGTAACTGGCGGCAACCCGCCGAGCAGCACAGAGCAGAACGGAAGCCATGCCGTCTGTCTCCTTCCACGCACAGCGGGACAGAGTCCCGGTGGAGCGTGGTGCTGGGACCCTGCAGAGGGAAGCTTCAAGAAGCAGAAAGCAGGTGTGTTGGACGGAGCCGCGGGACTGAGGCGAAATGGAATCGCAGCCCCAGCAGCAGGTGTCTAGAGGCTGAAGTCCTCTGAATGAAAGAGAGCCCTGCTGTACCTGCTTATCACAGCTCATAAAGTTCTGAAACAAAGAGGGTTCACTTTGGTCACCACTAGTGACCCCAAGTTACGAGGCTCCAACACACACTCACGTCTGGGCACCCAAAAACGCCAGATAGCTACCTCACACCGGCCACAGGAAGACAGTTCTGATGGATTAGAGACCGAACCGTGACAGCTAAAACTTTAAAACGCCTAGAAGAAAACATAGGTGTGGATCTTTGTGATCTTAGATGAGGCGATGGTTTCTTAAACATGACACCAAAGCACAAATGGCAAAAGAAAAGACGGCTTGGACTTCACCAGTATTAAAACCTTTCATGCGCCAGACCAAATTTATGGTTCGGCTCAGTTCAGTCGCTCAGGCATGCCCGACTCTCTGCGACCCCATGAATCGCAGCACGTCAGGCCTCCCTGTCCATCACAAACTCCCGGAATTTACTCAAACTCATGCCCATCGAGTCGGTGATGCCATCCAGCCATCTCATCTTCTGTTGCCCCCTTCTCCTCCTGCCCCCAGTCCCTCCCAGCATCAGGGTCTTTTCCAATGAGTCAACTCTTCGCATGAGGTGGCCAAAGTACTGGAGTTTCAGCTTCAGCCTCAGTCCTTCCAATGAACACCCAGGAGTGATCACCTTCAGGATGGACTGGTTGGATCTCCTTGGTTACCCATAAACTAAATTTAAGGTTGCCAAAGGGGAATGGGGAAGCGGGAAGAGGGATAAATTAAAAGAGTGTGGGATTAAAAAAAAAAAGGAGTGTGGGATTAGCAGCTACAAAATATTACCTATAAAATAAACAACAAGGCCCTACTGTATAGCACAGGGAACTATATACTGAATATCCTGTAACAAACCATCATGGAAGATAATATGAAAAATAATCATAGACATGTGTGTATGTATTAACAGATAAAAGTGCATCACTTTGCTATACACCAGAAACTAACAAAACACTATAAATCAACCATACATCAGTTACAAAAAAAGTTCTGTTCTCCGAAGAACACTATAAAGAATGTGAAAAGAGGGCTTCTCTGGTGACTCGGGGGGAAAGAATCTGCCTGCCAATGCAGAAGACATGTGTTCGACCCCTGGGCGTGGAAGATCCCACGTGCCAGGGAACAGCTAAGCCAGCGTGCGCAGTGACTGTTGAGACTGCTCGAAGCCCAGGAGCCACAACTGCTGAGCCCACACACACCAGAGCCTGTGCTCTGCAACATCACTGGAGTGAGAAGCTCCTATATCTGGTGAGGGACTTGCACCTGCAATACAAGGAACTCTTACAACTCAGGAATAAAATATAACCCACTTCAAAAATGGGGAACGGATCTAAATAGATGTCTCCAAACAAAGATACATTCGTGGCCGAGAAGTACATGAGAAAGATGCTCAACCGTCATTAGCCACTGCTGCTGCTGCTGCTAAGTCACATCAGTCGTCTCCGACTCTGTGCGACCCCATAGACGGCAGCCCACCAGGCTCCCCCGTCCCTGGGATTCTCCAGGCAAGAACACTGGAGTAGGTTGCCATTTCCTTCTCCAGTGCATGAAAGTGAAAAGTGAAAGTGAAGTCGCTCAGTCGTGTCCGACTCTTCGCGACCCCACGGACTGCAGCCCACCAGGCTCCTCCGTCCAGGGGATTTCCCAGGTAAGAGCACTGGAGTGGGGTGCCATCGCCTCCTCCCCATTAGCCACTAGGGAAATGCAAATCAAAACCACAGAAAGATAGCAATGTCCACAGTAAAGCAGGTGAGAAATAACAAATGTTGTCTAGGACATGGAGAAGTTGGAACACTCATGCACTGCTGCTAGGAATGGAAAATGGCAAACAGCTAGCAGTTCCTCAGATGTCAGAGTTACCCTATGGCCCAGCAATTCCATACGGAAGGAAAGCACATGTCCACCCAGGACTTGAACAAGAGTGTTCACAGAAGCATCACCATAATAGCCCCCAAAAGGAGACAACCCAAATATCTAGCAACTGTTTGATGGAGAGATAAACTGTGGTAGCAAAGGACTTGGAAAGGAACTGTGTCTTGATACCGTTGCCAACATGAATGAACCTTGAAAACATCATGCTAACCCTAACACAAGAGCACCTGTTATAAGATGCAATTTACATGGGACGTTTGTCATAGCAAACCTGTAACAGAAAGCAGACGAGGGCTGCCTCGTGCTGGGGGGGTGAAAGAAGACGTAGGGAGGAGTGGGTACTGCTGGTGGGTCCAGGGTGACTTTGGGGGGCAAAGGAAATGTTCTAAAAGGGTTGTGATGATGGTGGAACAACTCTGAATAGACTAAAAACCATTAACTTGTGTCCTTTTTTCTTCTGGCCACGCTGGTCTGTGCGGCTGTATCGGGCTTCCTCTGGATGCGGCAAACAGCGGCTGCTCTAGCAGCCGTGCGGGGCTTCTCTCGTTGGGACCAGAGGCTCTAGAGTGTGCAGGCTTCAGCAGTCGTGGCCCGCGGGCCCACCTGCCCTGCGGCATGTGGGATCTTCCCAGACCAAGGATAGAACCTGTGTCCTCTGCATTGGCAGACGGACTGTTAACCACTGGACCACCCAGGAAGCCCCAACTTGGGACTTTCAATGAGCGAATTGTAAGGTACGATATTTCTATCTTAATCAACCTCTTACCCGTATTTTTAAAAAGCTGGACGATGGGCAGCAAAAGGGAAGGAGTTTTGCAGGTGACGGAAATATTCTAAAAATTGAATGTAGTGATGGTTCCTGAGGTACATAAATTTGTCCAACCTCATCAGAATGTGTGATGTAATCTTCAATAAAGTTGATATAAAAAGAAAACAAAACAGATGCAGAGGGCTGCAAGAAGCCACTGGACGGGCAGAGACAGGCATCAAGGCCAGGAGGCAGCACAGGGCAGGTCTCCCCGGTGTCCAGGGCAAACAGCTCAGCACAGACCTGGACTCCCAGCCTCCCCTGGCACAGGGATGCCCGGCCCTCTGCCTGGTTCTCCCAGCCGCCCTGGGATGCCCAGCACGCCACCCCAAACCAGCGCCTCCTGACCCAGCTGCCAGCTTGGATCCCCACCTCCTCGGTCCCCCCATCAGGCTGTGCATGCCCACGCATCCTGCACCCCACCTGCTGCTTACGGATTAGTCGGGCAGGGAGCTGAGAGGGTGCAGAAATCAAGGGCGCCCCAGTTCCACCCCCGCGAGGGCAAGCGTTTTCTCCCACAGCCAAGGCAGACGGCTGCAAGGAGTGAAGTCAGGAGCTGGGAGAGGCCAGGAAGGACACACACGGATCACGTACTGTTCCCTCTCACCGCACAGACACTGCTCTTCTTCCCACTCTGCAGGCCAGGCGTCTGAAGCTCAACGGTTTAGCCTGCGTTCGTGCTCTCTAGTCATGCCCAACTCTCTGTGACCCTGTGGACCGAAGCCCGCCGGGCTCCTCTGGCCACAGGATTCTCCAGGCAAGAATACTGGCGTGGGTTGCCATGCCCTCCTCCGGGGGATCTTCCTGACCCAGGGATCAAACCCTCGCCTCCTAAGACTCCGGCACTGGCAGGCGGGCTCTTCACCACCAGTGCCACCCGGGGAGCGCTGAGCGCTGTGGAGACCTGGCCACTGTCAGCCAGCTCCTGGGATTCCAACCCAAGCTGGCCCTCCTCCAAAGCCTGTTCCTCGGCCAGGCGTTTGGAGGAAGAGGATAAGCAGTCCAAGACCAAACCCCACACCCCTCCAGCTCCTTGGGCTGAGCCTGTCAGCCCAGCGCCCTCCTTCCCAGAAAGGAAAGATCCCCGTGTCAGACAGCAGGAGCAACTCAAGTCCCAGGCAGCAGGAGGGGCGACTCCTTGTCCCTGGGCCCTTGAAGACTGCCAGGGTTCCCCAAGATTGCCAGAATTCTCACTCCAGCCTTCAGAGCCCCTCATACAAAGCCCAGGTGACCAAAGTGGAAGCAAAGACCCCCATGAGCTGCGGCCCTAGACGAAATGAGGCTACCAATTGTATAAGACGTGACCCAAGGCCTCCAAGGGCCTGGAAAAGGAGGCGCACCAACCCCCCCACCTTGATGATCAAACCCAGCTTGAAGACTGTGCCCTGCCTCCTTCAGCCTGACAATAGCCCCAGCAAGAAAACCCTCATCCAGCTAGCAGCTGCGGTGCCGTGCGTCTTGCTCTAGACCTGAGGTTGCCAAAGGCTCCCACCCCGAGCCTGAGATGCCAGCAGGACGCTTGGGTTTCAGTGCAAACTGAATTCGGTGAGAGGGTTCTTCTCTAGAGAAAGTATGGTGGAGAGTGGGGTGCCCAAGCCCCTGCGCGGTGCTCGGTCTCCGACCTGACCTCGGAGGCGCCCCCCGGCCCGCCCTGCCGCCCCCGCTGGTCCCTTCTCGGGGTACCTGAGCACATGCTGGAGTAGAAGCCCTCGTTCTTGAGCATGATGAGCAGGGAGCTCCAGCCCAGGAGCACGGCGGAGAAGAAGAGGTTCTCCAGCACCGCCGTGCACGCCATCCACCAGCGCCGCCGATACGCCTGCTCCAGCGTGGGGGCCATCCCGGCGGCCAGCCTGCTGGGACACAGAGTACTGAGCCTAGCGCCCAGAGGACCCCGAGAAGCGTCCTTTATCGTGGGGGCTCTAGAGACCCCCCTCGAGCCTGCCCGCGACGAATGCCCCCATCGCGTCCTGGGCTTCCCAGCAGGTCCCGCCAGGCTGGCTCTGGGCACACGGGCAGCGCCGGGGGCGCACGCGGCGCTGGGGTCCCCCCCGCCCACCGGGTCACTATCAGGGGCCGGAAGGTCCTGTCTGCGCGCCAAGGACTCCTGGCGCACCGCCAGGCTCCTCCACCGAGGCCCAGGCACGCGGTGCCCGGCTCCCGGCGTCCAAAACCGCGCTTCCCCGAGTCCCCAGAGGTCAGCAAGGGGCAGGGCGCGCTCTGAAGCCGCTGCCGGCCGCCAGCCAGCCTCCAGCTCCAGGAAGGACCCCCCGAGGAGAGCAGGAGGAAGGGGAAGTCGGGTGGCAGCCCCAGGACACCCCCCGCCTCCCTCCGTCTTCCCGTGGCCCGGGGGAGAAAACTCCTCTCCCCCGGGGCCGGGCTCCCGGGGGCCCTGCCCCTTCCCGCGCCGGGCGACCCAAGTGCCCGCGGGCTCTCGCTCCCTGCCGGCAGCTGCCACGTGGAAGGGGCCCCAGGCGGGCCCTTCGCGCCCCCGGCGCCCCCCGCTCACCCGAGGCGCCTGCCCGTCCTCTCCGGTCCAGGGAGGGGGCTCGGGTTCCCGCAGGAAGTCCGGCGGCAGCTGACTCAATAAGGGCCGGGGCGGCGGAGGGGCTGTAGGGCGGGCGTGTTTACCAAAGGGAGACAAGCCGCCCGCGCTGCACCCCCCCCGCCCGCCCGCTCCAGCCTCGGGCACGGCCGCCGCTGCGGGAGGGGACGGCATGCGGGCGGCGCCGGGGCGGAGAGCGGCTGGGGGTGGGAGGAAGGAAAGCCAGAGGAGATCGCAGAGGAGAGGGGCGGGCCGGGCCGCGGAGAAAGGGTGGGAGGGGGCGGGGGGCAGGCACGAGTGCCTGCGCCCGGGAGCCTCAGTATTCCCATCTGTGAAATGGGCCTGGGCCTTCGGGCGCACCCGCAGGTCCGCACGGCCTCCGACACTAGCGTGCTCCGCGCGGGGGAAGCGTGGCCGGCCAGGGCGCAGAGGGGCCAGACCCAAGGGGCGGGAGGCGCGCGCTCAGGTGACAGGGTTTCTTGGGGAGCCTGGAAGAATCGGTAGGAGCCACCCGGCGGCTCTCAGGGACCCCCCCACCCCCCCCAGCCCAGCACCGCCGGCCGCTCACCTCTGATTCCGGCAGACGCGCCTCGCGTGGCTGCGGACCCGTCGGCGTCCGGCGTCCGGTGTCCGGCGGGCCCAGCTCGGGACCGTCCCGGCGCTCGCGGCCTCGGAGATTCCGCCTGGGGCTGTCACCGCCCCTGTCCCGGAGGAGGTCGGGGGACACGACGACTCCGGGCGGCCCCAGTCCGCGCGGCGAGGCTGGGACGAGGTGAATAATCGACAGAGCGAGCCAACAACTGTATTGACGCCCGTCGTGGGCTGCGCCCCGAGCTGGGGGCGGGGGTTCCCTCCCCAAACCCTGCCCCTAGGTCGAGTTTCACACGCACGTGACTCGATCCCGGATACCCAGACACTCTCCCCGGCACACGGCCCTGCGCCTAAAATGTCCACGCATCTCCCTGGCCCTAGCCTCTGCCCTGGCCCCCCAGGAGAACCGGGCAGCCCTCTCTGTATCCTCGGCCGCAGCAAAGAACACCTCGGCTGGAGCGCGCTGACCGCGATGCCCGGCGGACGGGTGGGGTTTTGAACTGTGTAGCTGGGGAGCGGAGTTTTCCGAGAGAGAGGCAGAGTGACACGGATTTCCTTGCAGAGGTAGTCAGATGGAGCTCTGAGAGTGCACGTGAACACTGCCCGGGGCTACCTTGAGCGAGTTGCTTGGCCTCTCTGAGCCTCGGTTTCGTCTGTAAGTTGTAACAACAGCACCTACTTTACAATGGTACTGGCAGAAGGACTGCTGGAGAGCTGGGGGCTGGAATTGGGGGTTCAGAGGCGGGCAAAACGCTCATGGCAGCGCTTGGCGCAAAGGAAGCATAATCAGCTGTTCACTGTGGTTGTTACTGCTGTCATCATTATTATTATAGAAGATGTGGTGATAGGAGCCCTCCAGACATTTACTGATTCCTGGGAAGTCTCTGGACCTCCCTGAGCCTCAGTTTCCTCATTTGTAAAACAGAGGGTCAACTGTGTGTGGACTCACACTCATCCTGTGGATGGGGACGAGGGCCCATCAGTACAGATGCCGACTTTATTGCGGTGTCTGGAGAGTGATGTTGATGATGTTCACGAGGCTCTTTGGGTGTGTGAGCAACTGCCCGGGACGTTCCAGGCCCCAGACAAAAGGGACTCTAAACAGCTGAGCCACTTCGCCACGGGAGGAGCTCACATTTGCTGAGTGGCTAACACACGCTGGGCACTTTCCAGGCAAAGTGTGTGTCGGTCGCTCAGTCGTGTCCGACTCTTTGTGACCCCCTGGGCTGTAGCCCTCCAGGCTCCTCTATCCATGGGATTCTCCAGGCAAGAATACTGGAGTGGGTATCCATTCCCTTCTCCGGGGGGTCTTCCTGACCCAGGGATCAAACCAGGGTCTCCCACATTGCAGGAAGACTTTACTATCTGAGCCTCCAGGGAAGCCCATATTTTTCCAAGCAAAAGTAATCATTAAATCCTCAAAACATCACAGGCTCATTTATGCCTCTGAGCTTGTCACAGGGGGATGGGCCTGGGGGCTAGCAGCTGGAAAATGGTAGGTCTGAACGGGATGCAAAGTCAGGGCTGGCTGGCTTTGAAGTGTGGGCCTTCCCACTCCTCCAGTTCTGGAGGGAACAGCAAAAGCAGAAGCTTAGCAGCTGAAAAGGTTCGAGGACTTCTCTGTGGCAGGGGTGCAGTGGGTGTCAGGCGCCGAGGCTCTCGTTTCTCAAAATTCACGACTGGCTCCCAGAACTTCCAGATCAAGGTCAGACTCCTTAGCTTCGCACCAGGGGCCCTAGAATAAGGACCCGGTGACCCAAGGCGGTCACGGACAGGTCACTTTGAGAATGTAATAAAATGCCATGAGGCCTCTCCCTGTGAAAAGGCCTGTGTGAACATGCACACACACAAACATCTACATTCATATTCCAGGTCCATATTTGTGGACCCAGCTCCATAAACTCTAGGGGTCCACGGGCTCCCCTGTGGCTGTTAATGCTTGCCTTTCTCTCCAACTCGCATGTGCATCTTTTCCTCTGGGGAGCTGTCAGCTGCATGGGGACAAGGGTCTGGTCTGCTGTGTTCACTGTGGCGTCTCCAGCACCAGAAACAGCCCCTGGCAGCTAAGAGGCCTCGGGAAGCACCTGTGGAATGAAGTGTGACGCCTGCTCCTTCCACATCGCCTGCCCTTTGCGTCTGTGATTCCTTCTTGTGGGAAAGATGGATTCCCTCCTTCATCTCCGATGTACTCGTCCTTCACAACTCTCCTCCAGTTTCCCCTTTGGGCTGGAAGCTCTGCTCTCCTAGGTTGGGTTAGAGGTGCTCCCCCCCGACCCCCGCCTTCCCCCTCAACACTGTTCTACCCTGAGATGAAGTGCTCACCCTGATCTGGAATCAGCAGTATCACTGCCTGCTCCCTCCCCAGGAGCTAGAAGTCTCTGGAGGGCAGGCACCGTGGGAACCACATTGTGGCTGGTTTGTATTATGCCTGCAACCCATCCCAGAACCTGACCTGTAACAGCCAGTGGTAAACGTCTGTCCAATAATGGGGAGAGGGGAGTGAGAAAAGGAGCTGGAAAGGACGGCTGGGGTCAGTTTAGAAGGACCTCTGCCAGGCCAGTTCAGTTCAGTTCAGCTCAGTCACTCAGTCGTGTCTGACTCTTTGCGACCCCATGGACTGCAGCATGGCAGGCCTCCCTGTCCATCACCAACTCCAGGAGTTTACTCAAACTCACGTCCACTGAGTCAGTGATGCCATCCAACCATCTCATCCTTTGTCATCCCCTTCTCCTCCCACCTTCAATCTTTCCCAGCATCAGGGTCTCTTCCAATGAGTCAGTTCTTCTCATCAGGTGGCCAAAGTATTGGAGTTTCAGCTTCAACATCAGTCCTTCCAATGAATATTCAGGACTGACTTCCTTTAGATGGACTGGTTGGATCTCCTTGCTGTCCAAGGGACTCTCAAGAGTCTTCTCCAACACCACAGTTCAAAAGCATCAATTCTTTGGCGCTCAGCTTTCTTTATGGTCCAATTCTCACATCCATACAGGACTATTGGAAAAACCATAGCTTTGGCTAGACGGACCTTTGTTGGCAAAGTAATGTCTCTGCTTTTTTAATATGCTGTCTAGGTTGGTCATAACTTTTCTTCCAAGGAGCAAGCGTCTTTTAATTTCATGGCTGCAGTCACCATCTGCAGTGATTTTGGAGCCCCAAAAAATAAAGTCTGACACTGTTTCCACTGTCTCCCCATCTATTTCCCAAGAAGTGATGGGACCAGATGCCATGATCTTAGTTTTCTGAATGTTGAGCTTTAAGCCAACTTTTTCTCTCTCCTCTTTCACTTTCATCAAGAGGCTTTTTTGTTCCTCTTCACTTTCTGCCATAAGGGTGGTGTCATCTGCATATCTGAGGTTATTGATATTTCTCCCAGCAATCTTAATTCCAGCTTGTGCTTCACCCAGCCCAGCATTTCTCATGATGTACTCTGCATATAAGTTAAATAAGCAGGGTGACAATATACAGCCTTGACGTACTCCTTTTCCTATTTGGAACCAGTCTGTTGTTCTATGTCCAGTTCTAACTGTTACTTCCTGACCTGCATCTGCTTCTGTTAGGTCCATACCATTTCTGTTCTTTATTGAGCCCATCTTTGCATGAAGAGTTCCCTTGGTATCTCTAATTTTCTTGAAGAGATCTCTAGTCTTTCCCTTTCTGTTGTTTTCCTCTATTTCTTTGTACTGATCGCTGAGGAAGGCTTTCTTATCTCTCCTTGCTATTCTTTGGAACTCTGCAGTCAAATGGGAATATCTTTCCTTTTCTCCTTTGCCTTTCACTTCTCCTCTTTTCACAGCTGTTTGTAAGGCCTCCTCAGACAGCCATCTTCCTTTTTTGCATTTCTTTTCCATGGAGATAGTCTTGATTCCTGACTCCTGTACAATGTCACGAACTTCCATCCATAGTTATTCAGGCACTCTGTCTATCAGATCTAATCGCTTGAATCTATTTGTCACTTCCACTGTATAATCATAAGGGATTTGATTTAGGTCATACCTGAATGGTCTAGTGGTTTTCCCTACTTTCTTCAGTTTAAGTCTGAAGTTGGCAATAAGGACTTCATGATCTGAACCACAGTCAACTCCCAGTCTTGTTTTTGCTGGCTGTATAGAGCTTCTCCATCTTTGGCTGGAAAGAATATAATCAATCGATTTTGGTGTTGACCATCTGGTGATGTCCATGTGTAGAGTCTTCTCTTGTGAGAAGTCTTATTTTGTGAGATAGGTGATGGGAACTCCTGACTTTTGTTTTCTTTTGGTTTAGTTTGTTTTTAAGGAAGGAGACAGATATGCTCAGGTTTGTATGTTTAAGGAATGGAAAGGAAAGGGACTTGAGAGCAGTCAAGAAACCACTGTAACTGTTCAGATAATAATAATTTTTAAAAAACAGGACTTCTCTGGTGGTCCAGGGGTCGAGAGCCTGCCTGCCCATGCAGGAAACACAGGTTCGATCCCTGGTCCAGGAAGATCCCACTCGCCAAGGAGGAACCAGGCCCCTGGGCCACAGCTGCTGAAGCCCGCGTGCCCAAGGCTGCTGCTCTGAGACAAAAGGACCCACTGCGATGAGAAGCCCTAAAACAACCAGGGAGTAGCTGCTGCTCACCTCAGCCAGAGAAGACCCGCTCACAGCAGTGGAGACCCAGTGCAGCCCCAAATCAATAACTACATTTTGAAAAGAGAGAGACTTGGGGGGCGGGGGGTAGGGAGCACATGGGAATGGCATGTAGGGTCCTAGTTCCCAGACCAGGAATTAACCCCCGCCCCCTGCAGGGGAAGCCTTAACCATGGGGGCCCCCTGGGAGAGTCTCAGAGAAGAGACCAGAGACCCACTCCCATATCAGAGTCCTAGGATTCACCGGCCCCTCCTCCCGCCCCATAGTAACCCCCCACTAGACTCTGTCCCAGAGCGTGAGGACAACAGGCCTGTTGGGTTGCATGTCCTGTGAGCTGCTGGCTCGCTCCCCTCCAGCTGGGGTGTCAGGAGTGCTTCCCGCGTCACAGTCAGGGGTCCCCTTCTCGCCCTGCAGCTGGTCACATGTGCGGGTTTGCCCGAGGCACTCGAAGTGCTGAGCCTCCCTCTTGCAGGCTGTCATGTGCTGGAGATAACAGTATCCAGCTCACAGCAGAGAGAAGATTTATTCAGCCCCACAAATAGTCACAGTAAACCTTTGCATGAGGAATGTAAATAAAATGCTGCAGCGACTTTGAGAAAATGGTTTGGCCGAACCTCAGATAGTTCCAGAGTCAGCGCTAAAACCCAGCAGTTCCTCTCCTAGGTATATACTGCAGAGAACTGAGAACATTCAGTTCAGTTCAGTTCAGTAGCTCAGTCATGTCCGACTCTTTGCGACACCATGAACCACAGCACCCCAGGCCTTTCTTGTCCATCACCAACTCCCGGAGTCCACCCAAAACCATGTCCATTGAGTCGGTCATGCCATCCAATCATCTCATCCTCTGTCATCCCCTCT